AAAACAAAACGGCCCCACAAATAATGAAAAATGCCAGTTGAATGAGTGCCCACCAGTAACAATAAATCTCCAAAAATAAACTAATAATTTACATAGACTCCACAGAGATTCTAGATTAATATGGAGATGTTGCAACCCAACACCAAAATTCTGAACCCTGTCCAAAGAGAAAACATATGGGGAAGGAGCAGAAGGAGGAGGGTCCAAACGTTTTACTCATTAGCATTCAGCGTGTTCCAGTGCCTTCCTCTTCCTGCCCACCAAGTACAGATGATGCTAACAAAAGGACATCCTGATCATGGCCCTGGTAGAAGCGGAGACTCCCACAAACCCCTGTAATCGAGGCTCAACCTGTACCATTATCCCCAACGGGTAAATTCAGAATGCCAGTTAAATTTGAATTTCACCATGCATTTTGCATATTTATTACCTGCATCTGGCAATCTTCAAAGGTAAAGGGTCCTCAAGAGATTACAAAATTCTCCATAGGAAGCATTTTCTCATTGGGGATTTAGATGCTGCATCCTGGGAAAGGCTGGGTCCCTGGGGAGACTACAAAAAATGTTGTTGATCTTCATAACCTATTTGCTGCAGGCATGTTTAGAGCCTTTCAGGCAAGCTCGCAGAACTAACTGTTCAATTTCACTCGACTATGTATATTGCTGTATGTGAGAAGTGACCTGGCGAACTCATGTTCCCAATGGAAAAACAGTCGGTTAGCTAAGCATCTTTTTGTAGACTGCTCCTGAGTGATGCAATTTTTATTTTGCCCTGATTTATGGGAGTCTTCCAAGTATGAAATTCCTCTCTTCTTCATCTTTTGCAAGCCATCAGTACATTTAGTGACTTTTTAAAAAAATTCTTGCAACACTTTATACCACACCAGGGAAGTAGTTTAGACTGATTCGTTAATGCCATCGCAAGAACCTCAAAATGCTTTACAACAATCTTTACGACAATCTTTATGGCACACACAGGATGAGTTCATCAAGATTCTATTTTGTAAGTTATCCAGGATTGTGCACAAAGTCTAAACAGTGTGTTTCCTCTGATGTCAGGTGTTAGATTCCATTCACTGGTGCCAAAGAAAAGTCACATTTTTTTTTTTTAAGATTTTATTTTTGAGTAATCTCTACACCCAAAGTGGGGCTCAAACTTACAACCCGAGATCAAGAGTCGCATGCTCCACCAACTGAACCAGCCAGGTGCCACAAAAAGTCACACTTCAAGATTTCTTGCTCACCAGAAAAATTAGGTAACTGCTTGGAAAGAGGGCATTTTAAATAAAACCTGAGCAGTGGAATGCTGTCCCACACAGTTCTGTTTACAGTATACTCTCTAGGTTGAAAGAAAAAACGGGAAATCACTCTGCTATCTAAGGGACAAGGTGCAGAGAACATCAAGGTTCATCACCTTAATTGAATGCCTCTACTCCCCCAGAAACAAGAGACGGAGAACAGCACCCAGGAAAGCGCTGCTGACCGGTTCATAGCACAAATTCTAGGAGAAACCTGTAAACTAATATTAACTGGTAGTATCCCAAATATTTATTATGGGTAATAGCTCAGGAGATCACCATATTTACTGCAGGTTATATCAGAGATCAGGCTGCAACTACAGAGTGACATGAAATGATCAAAACCCAGCCTTAGGAGGCGATCTGGTCCACTCCCTAATCCTCTTCTGACACTGTCACACCAACTACTGGGGTGGGGAAAAAACCCCACAGAACAATCTTATTTTTAGAGGCCTCCAATGAAGAGAAATCCACAGCCAGGATTTCATCAGCTCAACTAAAATGCTATCCTCATAACCCATTGCCATATTTGGTCATCAGTAAAAAATATTAATGACACCTCTCGTAACAATCTCAAAGAGTCAGAATAAGGATCAAATGTGATAAAATATGGCGACACTATAAACTGTACCAATGTTTATTCCCTGGGTTCAAGTGAAACCCACATTCTTCCGTCAGGTGATTATTAAAGGAGAGATTAGACCCTGGCAAATGTTATTCCAATTTACAGTGGAGTCTCATGAGATTAAGGTGAGCCGAGCTGGTCGTGGGAAAATCTACTGAGAACGACGTGTGCCATGAGTCAGGCCTTGAGAACGACACGGTCTCTTCTAAAAATCTGTCGTCGAGGGGCAGGACCTTACTCTGAACAGCAGAGCGTCAGTCATCCTACCAACCTGATGCTGGGGACACGCACCAGAGCTCACCAAAATCCACTTCATACATCCTGACATCTTGCTTAAAATGCAAAGGCAGCAAACTTTTAGAAGATTTGAATTTCACCATGCATTTTGTATACTTACTACCCGCATCTGGCAATCTTACTCAAAGGTAAAGAGTTCTCAAGAGATTACAAAATTCTCCATAGGAAGCATTTTTCTCATTGGGGATTTAGAGGCTGCATCCTGGGAAAGGCTGGGTCCCTGGGGAGACTCCAAAAAATGTTGTTGATCCTCATAACCTATTTGCTGCAGGCATGTTTAGAGCCTTTCAGACAAGTTCGCAGAACTAACTGTTCAATTTCACTCGACTATGTATATTGCTATATGTGCCAGAGCACCTCTCTCCATTGTTATATATGCAACACTAGCAGTCCCTGATATTAACCCAGGCTTCTGAAGAGAAAAGGATCCGAGTTCTGCTCGAATAGGATGGCCTGGGACTCATTTTTCTTGTCGAAAACAGGTATACTACCATTTTGCCATTTACCGTAATATTTCACACGCTTATCATGAGAAAATTTGTGATCTGACAACTTAAAATTGCTTCAGCTTCATGAAAATAACGTCTAAACATAAAGAAAAATGTTTACTGTGGTAAAATACTTGTCATTATGACTTTCCAAGTAGAATTTGCAATATAAAAAAAGACTGCAACGATTTTGACAGGGAAGAAGTACATATGACATATTAGGACGAGATCTGAATTAGCTCAATAACAAATAACATATAACGTAATCTGTTTTGTCTGATGCAGAGATTCTAAGATATTGGTATAAGCTTTATGAGTCATGTTCTAATTATACCAATATAAACATTAACAACTATACAGATCATTCCTTCACTCTAGGCAAGTGGTTCTCTACCACATCAGACCCAATGCTCCTCTCTGTACTGCCCAATAAATATCCTGAAATGGAATTCATAATTAACATTATCTACCCATATAGGGCTTTAAAGTCAACAAAAGGCTCATTTCAACGAAACGAAAGAAAAGTAGTTTATACTAAGAGAAATGTCTGCAAATGCTCAGGCATGACTACACTAGAAGACATAATGAAATCAGGAAATGCTGCTCCAAGGGTAAGAATCCAAACACTGAGCCCATGTCCTTGAACCGAGGCCTCCTATCAGCACTTCAGGCAAATCCTAGATCTGCCAGGACCAAAAGAACCCTTGATTTCTATACTCAGAATAACTAAGACTGCAAATATCACTCTACCTAAAGACCACGAAGGACCATGCAGGCATGACTCAGGTGGGTGAGGGAGCAACAGGCCAGGGTAAGAAATTTCTATTTCCACACCTCCCTAAACATATCCTCCATGAACTCTTTCTTTTTTTTTAAGTTTATTTATTTTGGGAGATAGAACACAAGCAGGGCAGAGGCAGAGAGAGGAAGAGAGAGAATCCCAAGCAGGCTCTGCACCATCAGCACAGAGCCCGACATAGGGCTCGATCTCACAAACCATGAAATCATGGACCTGAGCTGAAACCCAGAGTCACACACTTAAACGACTGAGCCACCCTGGCATCCCGCCCTGCCCTCGCCTCCATGAACTCTTGACAGATTCTGAGCTGGCCTCATTCCATGTCTGCAATCACAACTGGCCTCCAAGGACATGCTGATTCTTCTATCCTGATATTCTAAAATTACAGACTGGTAGGCCGGGGAAACGTATTTTGCTATTATCTAATTTTAATCCCCATTTTAGAGGTTAATAAATTTAGTCCTATTTGGGGTCATAAAGATTGTTAAGAACAGAGTTAGAGGCCTCTTGATTTCCAGGCCAGGACTGTGTTCACTGTACCACATTTAAGGAAAAATAAGCTTAATGTTAAGAGATCTTTTTGAGAACGGAAACCTAAAGAAAACAAACAAAAATTTAAAAGATTCTGCCTGAAATCACCCCACCATCTTTTTCAAAGCTTCATGCAGCTTCTCTGAAATCAAGCAGTTAAAAATATTAATAGACATGCAATATAAGGTGTAACTCTTTCCATGATATAGTCTTTTTTAATGGTGGCCTAGCATTCTACCCTTCAGATGTTCTGTATTTTGTTCAATCAACTGCTTCTTACTAGATATCTAAGCTATTTTCTTTTTTACTACTCACTTAGTGGACTCACTTGTTAATGAATTGATGAGAAATGTTTATATTTATCCACTTAAAAAAAAATCTGTTGGGGCGCCTGGGTGGCTCAGTCAGTTAAGCATCCAACTCTTGGTTTCAGTTCAGATCATGATCTCATGGTCATGAGATCGAGCCCTACATCAGGCTCTGCACTGACAGTGCGGATTCTTGGGATTCTCTCTCCCTCTCTGCCCCTCCTCTGCTCTCTTCATCTCTCTCTCAAAATAAATATTAAACACTAACAAAAAAAAAGGTGTACATGGGGAGCCTGGATGGCGTAGTCGGTTAAACATCCGACTTCAGCCAGGTCACGATCTCGCGGTCCGTGAGTTCGAGCCCCGCGTCGGGCTCTGGGCTGATGGCTCAGAGCCTGGAGCCTGTTTCCGATTCTGTGTCTCCCTCTCTCTCTGCCCCTCGCCCGTTCATGCTCTGTCTCTCTCTGTCCCAAAAATAAATAAACGTTGAAAAAAAAAAATTAAAAAAAGTTGTACAAATGGAATTTTTTTAGAACACATCAAATTCTACATTGTAACTACCCCCAAAGCCAAACATTTCCTCTTCTCCACCTCCCTTTATTCAAATCTTAAATATTATCCCAAATAACCATGCAAATTCATCATGACAAATTACCTGCATTTAAAATACACAATCCCTTCATGGCTTCCATCATGCTTTCCTCTCGTGGGATTGTCCCATTCCACTCCTAGCCAGAGTCCTAGCAGAATAAGAGAAACCAAGTAAGCAATAAGGGATGACAGAGATCATTAACACTCCTTTTTTCTGCAAGCCAATATAGTTTGCGCCAGAAACCGTATCACACAGACACTACTGGGGGAGAAAAGTATCTTTGGAAAAGGACAAGCTAACCTCAGAGCCGGGACTGCAATCAGCAGATACAATGGCATATTTGGTTCAAAAGCCGACAAAAATTACAACTGCAGGAAACAACAAATTTACTAAGCACTTACTGAATGCCAGAAGCTTTCTTTGCATTTTCTCATTGGTATCCTTACAACAGACATTTCAGCTTTGTAAAGCAGATTCTTCTTCTTACCTTCTTTTTACCAGTTCCCAAGCAAATACACAAGTTTTTTTTTTAGTCCTGGTCTAGTAATCTGCTTTTCACAAAATAAAAAAAATCTATATGTAAATGGTCTTCTTAGTCAACATAGGTAAAATAACTTGCCCGAAGTCAGACATCTTCAAAACCAGGTCATGCTAACTCCAGAAGCCAACTCTTACCCATCACACTGTGCTGTGTATAACTCACACCTTATATTTGTATAGCACCTTACAGTTTCCAGAGCATTTTCTTTCCTTTCCCTCCTCCCTTCCACACCAGATACAGCACCGTGCTAGGTGCAAAAGACAGAGAGTTTCACTTCTGGATCAGCCTTCTTGGTGAAAAATAGAAAAGCTAGATAAACTATTGTTTTACAGCACACTTTTAATTTTTTTTTTAATGTTTATTCATTTTTTTTTTGAAAGAGGGAGACAGACAGACAGAGGCACAGTACAAGTCGGGGAGGGGGAGAGAGAGAGGAAGACACAGAATCCAAAGCAGGGTCCAGGCTCTGAGCTGTCAGCACAGAGCCCGATGCGGGGTTTGAACCTATGAACTGTGAGATCATGACCTGAGCCGAAGTTGGATACTTAACCAACTGAACCACTCAGGCACCCCTGGATAAACTATTTTCAAAAATCATTTTACATATCGGAGCACTTCAGTGGCTCAGTCGGTTAAACGTCCGACTCCTGATTTTGGCTATATAAAATGAAGAGTTCCAGGGGCACCTGCGTGGATCAGTCAGTTAAGGGTCAGACTTAGCTCAGGTCATGATCTCATGGTTTGTGAGTTCGAGCCCCACATTAGGGCTCTCTGCTATCAGTGCAGAGCCCACTTCAGATCCCTCTGTATCCCCCACCCCACCCCACCCTTCACTCACTCACACTCTCTCCCCCTCACTCTCTCAAGGAGTAAAAAAAAAAAATTTTTTTTGATTGAAAAAAAAATGAAGAGCTCCAAATAAATAGTAATGATGGATGCACAATGATGTGAATGTACTTAATACCACTGAACTGTACTTAAAAATGGTTAAAAAGGGGGTGCCTGGTGGCTGAGTCAGTTGAGCATCTGACTCTTGGTTATGGCTCAGGTCATGATCCCAGGGTTATGGGATCGAGCCCCAAATCAGACTTTGCAATGAATGTGGAGTCTGCTTGGGATTCTCTCTCTCCCACACTCTGTCCCTCTCTCCCACTCATGCCCTTTCTCAAAAAAAACCAAAACAAAACAAACAAAAAAAAAAACTAATGGTTAAAATGGTTAGTTTGGTCATGTACATTTACTACAATTAAAAAAATATGTATACATATAAAATATCTCTTTGAAAACACCAGAGAGCTACTAAGGCAGTGAAGAATTACAAGGCTGATGTGGAGAAGAGGGAAACCCAAAGAGTTGAACTAATAAGCATGTAGAGCAATCTTTTCCCCTTGAGGCATCTGATAATTCTGATAGAAGAAGTTAAAAAGCTGAACAGACCTTTGGACAGATTTCAGGGGCTAAGAAATCAATATTGAAAATCACAGCCTCCCAGGGAAGGTGAAAGTTGCCGAGAAACTCTCTAGGATTTGTACTGGGCTCAAAATGTCTTCATTCTAAGAGTAAGGAGGAATCAACTCTAAATAAACTAGCCCTTGTAGGGATTAACGGCCAACTTCAAATAATCTCATTCTCAGATACGTTTAAAGTGATCTGGGATTGCTACTGGCCCTAGCTACATGCCAGAGCAAATTTCAGTCCTCTCTGGAGGAAGATAACACTATTGTAAAGCTCAAATTATAAGTTTTCATAATAATTTCTGGCACTTAAAAAATACCTAAGAAAAAGACAAAGACATACAAAAAGACAAAGACTATGTGACTGAGAACCAAGGAAAACAACAGCCAACAATAAACAGATGAATCAGGCATCTGCATGATGGAGTTTTAACTATTTAATATTTGCAAGAAAAGCTTGAGAATTTTGCAGAAAAGTTTAAAACTCTATTTTTTAGAATCCTAAGTAAAACTCCAGAACTGAAAAACACAATTCAAATTATAATCTAATGGATGGAGTTTTCAAATAGATTATCCTAGGGGCACCTGGATGGCTCAGTGGGTTGAATGTCTGACTCTTGGTTTGGGCTCAGGTCATGATCTCAGTTTTGTGGGTTTGAGCCCCCACATCGGGCTCTGCACTGGCAGCATAGAGCCTGCTTGAGGTTCTCTCTCTCCCTCTTTCTCTCTGTCCCTCCCCAACTCGTGCTGTCTTCCTCAAAATAAATCCAAGAAGTTAAAAATAAAAATAAAATATATTATATCATACATTATTAAAAAACAGTTCAGAAAAAATCTAGAGAATGAAGCCTAGTGATGAGGGATGAAAAACAAGGGCTAGAGTGAAAGAGACCTAAGGGCATAATGAAAAGGTCTACTACATATATAACTCAAGTCCCAAAAAGAGAGGAGAGATTGTGGAATAAGTAATCTTTGAAGAAATGATGACTGATAATATTATAAAGCTAAAGAAAGCCATTAAGCCACAGACGCAAGAAGCTCAAAGAACACCAAAGTACAAATGCAAAGAAAACCACACCCAAGCACATTAGGATACAATTGCCATACACCAAAGACAAAGAGAAAAATCCTAAAACAGCTGGGGGTGGGGGGAGAGGAAACAGATTACCATCAAAGGAAAACAACCAGATCAACAGCTGACTTCCTCGTAAAGACAGTAAAAGCCAGAAGACAAATGAATGATTCAAAACACTGAAAGAAAGTAACTGGTGATCTGGAGCACTGTAATTGGTGAAAATATCCCTCAAAAAGTGAAAGTGCACAAGGGGCCCTGAATAGCCAAAACAATCTTGAAGTACAAAGTCAGAGGACACACTTTCCAGTTTCAAACTTACTATGAAGCTACCATAATCAAAACAATGTGCTGGCATAAGGATAGATGACATACAGACCAATGGAATAGAATTTCGAGACCAGAAGTGAACCCATAAATGGTCAACTGATTTTTTACAAAAATGCCTAGTCAATGGGGAAAGGACAATCTCTTCAACAAATCGTGCTGAGGCAGCTAGATATCCTCATACCAAAGAAAAAATGTGGACCCCTACCTCACATCACAGGACCCACATAGATCGCTAATATAAGGGCTAAACTCATATAACACTTGGAAGAAAGCTTAGAGATAACTCTTCATGACCATGGATTTGGCAATGGATTCTTAGAATACCAAAGCACAAGCGACAAAAGAAATATAAATTGGACCTCACAAAAATTAAACACTTATTTGCAAAGGACATGATCAAGAATGTGAAAAGACAACCCACAGAATGAGAGAAAATATTTACAAATAACTCATTTGATATGGGCTTAATATCTAGAATATAAAGCAACACCTAAAACTTGATAACAAATTGATTAGTTTGTAGTTTTGATTGTAGTTTTGGTTTGCATTTCTCTGGTGGTAAGTGATGAGGAACATCTCTTCATGTGTCTGTTGGCCATCTGCATGTCTCACACCTGTCAAAAAGGTTAAAATAAAAAACACAAAAGGTGCACCCGGGTGGCTCGGTCGGTTAAGCGGCCAACTTCAGCGCAGGTCGTGATCTCTAGGTTTGAGAGTTCAGGCTCCACGTCAGGCTCTGTGCTGACAGCTCAAAGCCTGGAGCCTGCTTTGGATTTTGTGTCTCCCTCTGCCCCTTCCCCGCTTGTGCTCTCTCTCTCAAAAATAAACATAAAAATTTTAAAAAAACACAAAAAAACAACAGATGTTGGTAAGGATGTAGAGAAAACGGAAACCTCTTGCACTGTTGGTGGGAATGCAATTTGGTACGGCTATGTGGAAGACAGTATGGAGGTTCCTCAAAAAGTTCTAAATAGAACTACCCAGCAATCATGCTACTGGGTATTTACCCAAAAAATACAAAAACACTATTCAAAGAGATACATACATCCCTATGTTTATAGCAGCATTCTTTATAATAGCCAAGATATGGAAGCAGACCAATTGTCCATTGACTGATGAAGGGATAAAGATGTGGTATATATACACGATGGAGTATTATTCAACCATAAAAAAGAATGAAATCTTGCCATTTGCAATGGTATGGCTGGAGCTAGAGAGTGTAACGCTAAGCAAAATAAGTCAGAGAAAGACAAATACCATATGATTTCATGGAATTTAAGAAACAAAACAAATAAGCAAAGGGGAAAAAGAAACAGATCAAGAAACAGACCCTTAACTATAGAGAACTGATAGTTACAGAGGGAAAGTGGGAAGGGGAAATGGGTGAAATAGCAGAGGAGCACTGGGTGATGTACGAAATTGTACACCTGAGAGCAATACAACACTATGTGTTAACAGGAATTAAAACTTTAAAAAAAAAAAAAAAGACAACCCAACTGAAAAATGGGCAAAGGACTTAGACATTTCTCCAAAGAAGATATACAAATGGCCCAAAAACGTATAAAAAGATGCTCAGTGTCATTAATCATTATGAAAATGCAAATCAAAACCACAAGGAGATACCACATCATACCTAGTAGTACAGCTATAATCAGAATAATGGAAAATAAAAAAATAAAAATAAAAATAAAAATAAAAATAATAATAATAATAATAATAATGGAAAGTAACAAGTGCTGGCAAGGATGTGA